CAATTTTCATAAGAACCATATGTTACAAAGTATAAGTGAATATTTGAAAGGTAGAAGAAAAATTCGATGTGAATGATTTAAAGAAAATTGCAAATGTCTCCCTATGGAATGAAGACTTATTGACACTCACCCAAAGCACATTGTGAAGAATACACATATAGACTAAATTAATATACTTAAATTCGATATATCTGAAAGAATTCAAAGCTGATACTGATGCTTAAAGAATGTTTTTGCAAAGTTTTTTGTTGAAAATATCAATTAACTTCTCCCATGGTCACATATTAAACAATGAATCTTTTGGTAAGATTCATAAATAGTTTTCTTTATCTTCTAATAATCAAATTTAATTTATATTGCATTTTTCGAAATTCTCTCAGTTCAATTCAAATAGCCCTTAGTTTAGAAATCTTACTCATAAGGTCTCATATGATTATGGCTGCATAAGAGGAAAATTAATTTTTAATTTTTATATCGTGATAGACGAATTCTTTGTATATCAGCTGAGTTTAGCATTCCATTATTTGTCTTCGATGTGGATATAAACAGTTTATTAGTAACAAAAATAAAACAAGATTACGACAGATATTTTATTCATTTGATTAAATTATTTGTATTATGTCATCATAATTCTTATTGGCATAAACCATTTAATGCTAAGTCTGTTAGAAGAAAGAATCATTTTCTTATTCAAATGATTGATGTGGCAAATCAGTTTAGTATAATCAATTTATTAAATTAAAAAATTCTGGTTGCTTGGCCTTTTATTTTGAAATAGGAACAATGTTTGACCGTTTGCGGTTATGAAAAATAATGGAGAAAGTTCGTTTGCAGGAAAACGTGCATTTCTATCCGAGATTTTTCTTTAGATTTTCTAATAGTGTAGAGCTAAGCTCAAATTTTGGGTTTCTAAAAGGATTTTTCAAATAAATTTGTATACACTCGAAATTTTATGTAATTATGATTGAATAAATACTGTTGAAAGGTATACACGTAAATGTTAATTGAGAGTGAGTCGAATGATTCGTTTATTACAAATGCCATATACGCACTCATGAATTTTTTTCGTAAAAAGTATTTTTGTAATTTTAATTGTCTTGTCTAAGAATATTAGAAAATATTTTATTGTTTTCTCATTGGTATTTTAAACTTTGAACATTTATCGGATAAGATAAATTATCTTGACTATTGGAAATAATAAACAATGAACGAAGTGCATATACTTGAATAAAATCATATAGAAGTTCATTTTACTAAAATAATACCTCTTTCTGTCGTCTAGCTTATCCAAAATTAGTTTTTTTTGTCAAAACCTCAATCGACGTTAGTGTTAATTTGTTCTTACTCATATTATCAGCTTCAAAAAATTATTCGTAAACTTCAAACATACAATAAAACGAAAACAAATAAAACAATTCACAGAACTTTATTATTATTTTTTAATGATCTTTATCCACTCATTCAATATCTATAGATCCCTATCAACAAAAAAGAAATACAGTAGGATACACACTCAATATAAAAACAAGACTATTTTCTGATCATTGAGACCTAATCAATTAAATTTTTTGATTTGTTCAATATTTATAATAATATGATAAATATCTATTTCAGATGTCTTTTTTCGACTAAATTTAGTATAAAATACTCTCCTACATTTTACACTATGCTGTCATTCAAGTTCAAGTCATGGAATCAGTATTCGTCGCAAAAATTGACTGATTGTTCAATAAGATTTAATTGAAGCATCGATTATAAATGTCAATAATCATTTGTTGTTAGTATAAATTAAAAAATCTGCAAGAACAATCTTTATATTTATCGTATCAATCTAGGACATAATGATATTCATGTAGTCCTTCGCGCGTTCTTTTTTGAGGTAAGAAGCACCTATATAGTAGTTCGTTTCCTATACGTACGCATCAAAACTTGTCGTTTTGGTGGGTGTGGGTGTAGATGATGAGAAGAAGTAAATCGACACCCATCCCACACCCACAAAACGGTAAGGACTACACTGTGCAGCATCCGAAACGTTTCACACAGGAAAAAAAATCAGTAACTCCTTCAGAACATTGAAATGCAATTTGTTATTGTTCAGCAAGAAAAAAGACGATGACAGAATTGTTTCTATTCTTTCGATGTTTCCTTTAACAAATGCCATGTGAGAACTTGTTGGAGGAAGCACTTTCCGAAATATATCCAGTGACATCTGGTACAATGAAAGCGTTTGCCAGTACTCACCGATGTCAGAATACACTTTACCAATATTTCCGTAGGAAGAAGTCAAGCCAGGATGATTCGGAGGGAGAGCTATGTTTTGGATTTCAAGTGATCGTTCATGCAATGAAAGTGCTTTGGAGTACTCGCCCATGGCAGAATACACTAACCCAAGTAGTCCATTAAGAGTCCGATAGACTTTCTTTGCTTTTGTAGATTCATCAAGTTTTATAAGTATGAGACCTAGTTTAGGCCAACCTCGTGATGCATAATTGATTAGCTCTTTCTGTATGAGTACTGTAAGTATGTTAAGGTCGTGATCACTGTTGCCTCAGAGACTAAGATCCACTTGCCATAGGCGATCAGCATGATCATCGTGCATTCGCTCAATTGGATTCATTCGAAAGATTGTGTACATTGAAAAAAGAATTTCTTCTTCTTCATCGTCAAAGTTACTGACATTTTAAACATCGACACAAGAGTTTGATGATGTTGCACATAGTGTAGGATCAATATTCATAACGAAGAGTATATCAACTGAATTGGAAGCGTGGAGTGCTGCTGCCCTTAAATACATCTCTAGGGAGATCTCCCGATTATGGCTTGTTGAAAGAAAATTGTTGAAAGACAAGGGTGTGGGTGTTTGAAAATGTGACATCCGAACCCACAACAACACCCACACCCACGCTCACATGTGACTACATTAATACTCTTGTGCATCTACAGATCATTTTAATTAGTATCTCGAAGTGTATAACTTATATCGATCGAATTTATGTACTCAATCCAATTTACGATGATGCGACAATTGTGATGATGGACATTTTAATTAGAACAAGACGAAGAAAAAAAATGTGAACGTTTTCTCTATCGAAATAGCTCCGCAAGTTCTCTACTGTAAACTAATTTTCACATCAAAGAGAACATTCTTTTTTGAACTTTTATTATCAACTCAACAGACTATATAGTCAATATTTGGAATAGCCCATCGATCGTATAAACAAGTTTAGAATTAAAAATGAGTAGAACTATTCGTTGTTTTCTTTTTGAAAATCATTTTTTCTTTTAGTTAATTGAAAGAATAATTATTTAGTGAAAAGTATGTTTCTTATCTCATCATACATTAAAATACTTGAAACAAGACATTTAATCTTACTTTTTATTCTTTCTTCGTTTCTTATTATCACCATGTGCTCTTTTATTATTTGTTTGAAGGCGATACATTTACTAATTCATAAATGAATACAAAAAAGAAAGGACAATATAGATATAACTCTTTTTCTGCATTTTAACACGTGCCAAGAACACATAACTACATAACAAGTTCTCTTAAGCTATCAGTAAGTATAAAATAATAAAAAAAAGATAAATATTTATTTCTTTGATTAGTTCAGAAAATGATGACTTATTCAAAGTTAATATTGAAAAAGTCAATGAAACTGATAATAATAATAATAATAAAACATTCGGTCCTAATTTTCATTCAAATGAACATATTAAAACATTATTTTGAACAAAATTAAGTGTTGGAAGATAGAAAAGTGTGAATTCAAATATATTGACAACAAAACATATCTAGTCATTTACGTACTCATGTATCTTATTGTATTATGCCATATTTCGCTTTTATTGATGTATATAATTATGAAATACATTGATTTCTAGAAATATAGATTATGAATTCTTTGATATTGTTTCATTTTATATCAATTGCCAAATCTCTATATCATAGAATATAATCATTTTATGAATTTTTCTAATAAAATAAGAAAAAAATTTTGCAGCTGAACTTGATTTTTAGTTTCGATGCTTTAATTTAGTTTTTGTTTTCTATTAATCTAATTTATCTGATATTTTACTGTATAGAACTAAGAAATAAATAGAGTAAATATAATCGAATAGGATATTAATAGGAATGATGATGGTTGAAAGATGCTGAAATAAATCACAAAAACTAATGTTAAAAGCACCGCTGATTTTAATTAAGTAGTCTGTAATTGTAAACTAGATGGGATCTGTACAGCAATACTTATAGAAATCTTGAAAAAAAATTTTTTTTAAGAATATATCTTACTTGAGTTTCATATTTATTTTACTATTTGGATAGATCTAGATACAAACAGTTCCTTATATATTATTAACACGTCATTATCTTTTATATAGACGTTAGATACAGGCAGAGAATTCGATAGTTTATGAAAAAAGAATTGATTTATTCATCGAACTGTAGCAGTGAATGTGAGTTTGTGTGTGGCACACAAGAATTTGCAGTAAAATTATTGCTAGAGATCTTTGAGTAAAACGACGACTGTCAACAATAAATCATAATAAATTTATCAGTTTGTTATTTATTTGTTTGACATTAACTTTATTTAGTTGACTGAATGTCCTTCTAGTAGAATATATGGTGAAACTCTCTTAAAATGACGAAAAAAAGAAATGTTCTCTTTTTTTTTTTCTTGAAGTATAGATGAGAGTTAGAGAGTATTGTTACAAAAGAATAGGAGAACGCAATAGTCATTTCTATTTTCAATTGTACTGAACACGTGAGCGCGTGATCATGCTGTTTTTTCCGTCGTTCTTCCGTTTCATATTTTCTTACTCGAATAGCTCGATAGTTAAAATGCGCACATAAAAAGGAGAAGCACGAACACAGTTGTTACCATTCTCATTTTACTCTTCTCATCGACAATACAAAACAGTCAACTAAACTATTGTAAGTAAATGATAACATGCTGAAAGAAGACTTCATCATAATGAATATGCATATATCGATTTAGAAAATGGACGCTCTCAAAGCTGGCGTTGAAAAAATGAAAGAAGCTAATGAAGAAAAAAAAGCTGATAGTAAACAACAAAAGTCTAACGATCCAAATGTTAAACCAAGTGAACGAATGGATGCAGGATTCGAAGCAAATAAAGCAGCTGCCAAAGCTGCTGAACATCATTCCAAAGCTGAACAACTCAAAAATAAACATGTTCATACCTAAACTGTTTATATATTCTTCTATTACTTATTTTATATATAGTTTTTAAATATTTTAAGTAAATCCAGCCGTCTTATATATATATAAAGGATATATGCATTTATTTAACAAAAAATCTTAATTTTAGAGAAACTCTTTATGCAAAGAATGCAAATTGCAATGATTCTGAATACACTCGAATATGATTTAGCTGACACTTAACTCGAAAAATATTTCCGAGACAGATATACTTATGAAATCGTAGAATATGAGTCGCAATGGATACAGTTGTCGCTTTATCGTAGTTGTTATAATTGAATTTAGATTAGTTTTCCGGTTTAAAAATACTCCATAATTACGAACATATCTTTTTCAAAAAAAAAAAATTTTTACTTTGAAAAAATAAGAATTGATGAATCACTATCATTTGAGAGTTTTTTTTTAAATATCATATTGCGGTAAACGAGACATCTGCGAATATTAATAATTGATTTTATTGACAAAGTTTTCTATATTCACTCAAAAATAAGTAAACTAATCAAATATGTCAACGATTACGTTTCTATGCATAGTTAAACTTTTCTATTACAACACCTTTTTATTCCAAACCACCAGTGCTTACATCTAGTTCTGCGAACAATAACAATCTTTGTAATGTGAGTAACATATGTTCTATTTATGGCTCGTGTGTAGAACGAGTAAAACAAATATACTATATGTATTGCGTCGTAATAAATAATCATGTGACATATAAGAAAAAGCTTTGGGCTAGTCATAGATATTTAGAAAAAACAATATTAGACAAGAGTAGTAGTATTCAGTGTAACATCTTGTCAGTTTTTGTGTTAATAGCTGAAAACATCAATTCATGTCGACATGTGCTTATTTGCTTCTGATTTTAGAAAAGTTAAATTAATAAATTGCTGGAACTAAGAAGTTCTACCATATTGTTATCTTGTTGCTTTTGTTTATCATCGTTTAATTGCGCTCGTAGAGATTCTTTCATATTGTGTAGAATATTTCCATTCATTTTTCATATTGAAGACCTTTTATAAATTTATCCTTGCAAATAATCCTAATACGGATTCATCGTTCAAAACTATTGAGAAGACTTTCAACACTAAAGTTCAAACGAAGTCAAACATTTTATTGACACATGTAATCCTTCTCTTAGCCCTAATCTTTAAGACACAGAAAATTCGCATAAATTTTCATTAAAAAAACACAAGAAAATAGCCAATTAAGCTTATCGAATAATGCTTGTCGTTCAGTGGAGATGGATCATGGTGAACACTAGGATATCTTATGATGTTCAGGAATGTTTTTCTTTCTATCAGATGAACTAGGGTGTGGGTGTGGGTGTGAGTGTGGGACGTGTGCTGGTGAGGGTTCTCCTTATATTTTCCAACACCCACACACCCACATCCACGCAGCCACACCCCACACCCCACACCCACACCCACGCCCACACCCACACCCACGCAGCCACACCCAGACCCAGACCCACACATACACCCACACCCATACCCCACCCACATCCACACCGACACCCACATTCACACCCACACTCTTGGTTTCATCAATATATACTTCCTTTTCTCTATTTATTGATTATAAAGCAAAATCTTCGCTAAAAAATTTTCTTGCTAGATTTTACATAAAAAATATGCATGAATATTGTCACAAGTTAAGAAGAGCCATATTAACATACTTGTAAAAAAATGTCTACATGGTCTGTACCATAACTAGCGACAGCAATATCTAACCAACTATCATTGTTGAAATCCGCAATACTTACAAATGAAGGTCGAGAATTATAATATATTGGATATGACGCTAGATTTCCAAAAATTCCGTTATCTAAACCGTAAAAGACAACTATTTTATTGGTACCACGATCAGCAACAACAATATCCAATCGATTATCTTTGTCCAAATCAGCAACTGCTATCGAGTATGGAGAAGAACCAATTCCAGTTGAATAGTTTGTCATAACTGAAAAATTCCCGTTGCCATATCCATAGAAAATGCCTATACTACTCGTGCCAAAATTCGAAACAACAATATCTAACTGATGATCATTATTAAAGTCACTGACAGCAATCGTATTCGGAGCAGAAAGGAGACCAGTTGTATATGTTCTCTGCTCACTAAATGTTCCATTACCGTATCCGAGAAAAATACCGATATTGTGCGTACCAGAATTGGCTACTGCAATATCTAAGTGATCATCATTATTGAAATCACCAATGGTAACTGAAGCAGGAGAAGAAGCATAGCCAGTTGAAAACGTTGTCTGAGTTGGGAAAGGTGTACTCTTATCTCGAAGCATTACTATTATACTAGCACTATTAGGTTTGACGATAGCCAAATCTACTCTACTGTCATTGTTAAAATCACATATCACAAAAGCCGACGGATATAAACTGATCTCAATTGAATAGGTCATTAGTATTGTGAACTTGCCATGGCCATATCCATAAAGCACACTAATACTGCCATTACCATTATCTACATGAGAAACAGCAATATCAAGTATTTTGTCATCATTCAAATCAGCGATGACAATCATAAACAAAATAGATTCAGAACTAGTCGATAGTGTTGTTTGCGATGAAAATGTACCATTACCATATCCAAAAAATATGCCAACATTCTTACTGCCCTGATTAACGACCGCAAAATCCATTGAGCCATCATTATTTAAGTCTCCAATAGCAATTGAATATGGAATAGAACCAACTCCGGTTGAATATGTTGCCAGATTTTTAAAAAGACCATTACCATATCCTAAAAGTATGCTAATTTCGTTTCTACCTCGGTTGACAACAGCTAAGTCTAGTATGCCATCGTTATTGAAATCATAAACGGCAATGCAATTTGGTGATGATCCATTTGGCATCGAATATGTTATTTGGTTTGAGAAAGTTCCATTACCATGTCCTAAAAATATACCAATACAATCGCTTTCTCTGTTGGCAACAACGAAATCCGGATTTTTATCTTGATTGTAATCACCAACGGCAATATAAAATGGAGATGAAGAGCCTGTCGAATATAACATTTGTTGTGCAAATGTTCCATTACCATGTCCTAGAAATATGCTTATACTGTAACCTTGTGTATTAGTGACAGCAATATCGAGTTTATTGTCATTGTTGAAATCAGCAACAGCCATTACTGCTGGAGTGAAACCTGTAGAATATGATCTATAGTAGATAAAAGTCCCATTTCCATATCCTAAAAGTACACTGACAGTGTCAGCATCTGCGTTAGAGACTACAATATCCCATCGATAATCACTATTAAAATCAGCTGCAATAATATGCAAGGGAACTAAAATGCGTGTATTTAAACGAATGGTATAACTTATGAATGTTGGATAATCAAATCCAAGAAATACTCCTATATTATCTTTACCATAATTAGCAACAACAACATCCATCCAACCATAATTTTTAAAATTACCTACGGCAATCGAATGCGGAAAAGAGTCAGAGCCTGTTGAATGTACAGTTTGTTCATTGAACGTCCCATTACCAAAGCCAAAAAATACATTTATATTATTATTCCAAAGATTGGCCACAACAATGTCACGATGACTGTCTTTATTAATATCGGCAGTAATTACATACCATGGATGAGAACCAAAACCAGTTGAATACATAGACGTATTCATAAAAGTTTCTTTTTCGTAATCCAGAAATATTTGTACATTATCAGTTCCTGAATTGGTAACAACCAAATCCAAATGATTATTTTGATTGAATTCATCAGCAACAATTGAATATGGACGGGAACTAGAATCAGTTAATAGTGAAATTTCATTTGTAAAATCTGCATAGTAAGATACGAGAAACACATGAAAATTATATGCATCCCTGCTGCTGACTACAATATCCAACTGATTATCATTATTAAAATCACCAAAGGCAATTGAATTTGGTAACGAATTAAATCCAGTCGAAAACATATTTTGTACTCCAAACGTTCCATTACCATATCCCATTATTATACCGATATTATTATACCATCCATTCGTAATTGCAATATCTAGGAAAGTGTCGTTATTCAAGTAGCCAAGAGCAATAGACCACGGAAGAGAGCCAGGACCAGTCAAATAAATGCTTCTTTTTCCAAATATTCCATTTCCATATCCCAAAAATATATCTATACTTGAAGAATAAGGATTAGCAACTATGAGATCAAGTCGTGTGTCACTATTTACATCTCCAATAGCAATACTACTTGGGTAATCATTACCAGTTGAAATGATCATTGAAATACGAAACGATCCGTTGCCGTATCCAAGATGTATACTAATTATGCAACGTTGATAACGTGCCAAGACAAAATCTAGTAAATTATCATTATTGAAATCGCCTACAGCAACAGAATTCATCTCTAAATCACTTTCAGGTGCATATGTTTTGATCATTGTAAAAGTTCCATTACCAAGTCCAAGAAAAACACCTGCATGATTAGAACCATAAATAGCGGTGACTATATCAAGATTGCTGTCGTTATTGAAGTCCCCTACAGCTACTGTAATAGGATAAGAACCTTCCATCTGATAGATATTTGCTTGCTTAAAGGTTCCATTACTATTTCCTAGATAAATACTAATTGCGCTTATGCTGTATATGCCAACGACAATGTCAAGATTATTATCTTTATTAAAATCACCAACAGCAATGGATTCTGGTATAGAATTATTTTCAATGAAATATAGTTTTTGATTTTCAAAGGTTCCATTACCGAGTCCGAGGAATACATTGAAACTTCTGCCTCTTACATTAACAACAGCAACATCCGATTGATTGTCGCTATTGAAATCATCAACAACGATAGAATTTGGTAGAGAATTAACGCCAGTTGAATATGTCAGTCGATGCGTGCGAGGATGAATGGCATATGAAGTCAGAATAAGAATATTATTAGTGGCATAATTAACAATAGCAATATCTGAATGATTATCATGGTCGAAATCACCAATGGCAGCCGATTTCGGAACAGAATTATATCCCGTTGAATGTGTTGTTATCATAGAAAAAGTTCCGTTTCCATATCCTTTACACAAAAGTACATTGTGATCATCTGAAATGACAACAATCATATCTAAATTTTTGTCGT